TTCTGTTATCGTAAACACTTCTGATCTGTCTAAATCTTATCTGTTATCGTAAAAACAGTAAAAAAGTCTCTTAGGCAGGGTTTTCCAAACTTTTTTGATAATGAACTAGAATCGAACAGAACGCTTGACGAACAGCCAAAAAAACAAGTCACCACATTTTTTGTGAGTGACGTTTTTCCACGTTATCGAAACTTAAAAAGAAGTATGAACTAATGTGCATGTCCAGCAAATGCATTCGCGGAACCCTAGTTCAGGTTCAGTGGAACATAGTTTGGGGAACTATGGGAAACTTTGGAAAAATCTAGAAAAATCCCAATTACTAGCACGCTTTGTGGGTAGGAATTTGGTGCGTAATATTTTTAATGCCGAAAAACCATAAGCGCATAAGCACTGTGCAACCTCGAGTTTGTAATCGAGTCTATTTCCGTTGCCATTGATGAGATATTAATGTCTGATCCAAGAGTCGCAACAGTTGACCATTGCTGACCAATATATGAGCTTCGCAGGGTTGAAACATATCAAAAATTCACCCTAGAGGTAACAAAACGCTAATAGTGCCATGAATCGGAATTTTAGAGTTGATATCAATAGCAAAGTCATCATTTCTGTGCAGCGCAGTCCAATGGCTTAGCGAACCATGATTGTTGTTAAACACCAAGTTTCGACACTAAACATGGATAATTAGGATAATTGTCGACACCCCGTTTGATGCTTGTCTCTAAAGTTAAATTATTTAACAATTTATTTATTTGTATTCATTTATATATATGATTTGTTAGATTGAATACCTAATATTTTTTCTACGCTAGTGTACGATGTAATAACTTGATCGACCACCTGACAAATTGTTCACAATGAAACCTTGTTTTCTGATGATGTAAGTTCACTTATAATGTTTTAAAATAGTATTGCTTGAATGTAAGACTTAGTATAATCTAAGGCTCTATACCTGCTTGAGAATCGCTCTGGTTTCTAGATAGTTTTATTTGAATGTTCCGCTAAACGAGAAGAAGCCGAGAATGCAAATTCTGGGAAATATCATGGTTTTAAAATGCTAACCTTAGGAATTGAACAAGCAGTTTTTTAAATCCGCGATTAGTTCTGTTCGGTACGTTTTATTTTATTATATAAATAAATATCAATTATTATAGGTTATTCCATTTCTTGAAAAAAATATTCTTTCAATGAATATGCTTAACTGCACTGTAGAATTACATGGAGCATGTGAATTAATTCATTAATATTGAAAAAATGTATTCTTGCACGAGTCAATTAAACGTTTACATATCAGTAATAACCCATAATTTATTTTATGGCACTTCTTACAAGACATTTGCATGCAAATTGCAACAATATTAAAACAATTACTTACGTTTTGCTTAGACTTAACCATAATCAGAAACGTGCATCGGAACATTTCCAAGCTCCATCCTTTTCTGCTCTGCAATATGAAAAGAGATATATAAAAATGTTGAATTTTTCTACCTCAATATATATCGAGATCAGTAGCATTCATACTCGATCTAATAGCTTTTATACATTTATTATTGGTCTAGACAGTTTAATTGCCTGTATGAGTTTGTACATTTTATTAAATGCGCGACCTATAATTGGTTCGATTTTTCTCTTATTTAAATCCATTGAATCTTTAAAACCGGATGTGGCGTAATGAATATATATGTATTTAAGACATCAAAAGGTTAATAGGGTATATAGAGTAGATACAGGCATTAGATAATTTATATAAATGGTTGCAATCTGAAAATATACATGTATTGGAACATTAGCTGTAAACATTTCATGTTAATTTTCTTCAGTGAACACTAAGATCGGAACCATATACGGTTTTTTTAAAACGGAACGTTAACTATCCGACTATAATCGATCAACTGGAAGTGGAAGTAGGAACTTTCAGAGCCACATAATTTTAAAGTTTTATTTTCTTTTGACTGGCATTGACCATGTCTTAAAAATCGTTCAACTGCTGATTGTTATCACAATTATTGATTATTATCACTCCTAAAGCAACAGTTTTATCTTAGAGACATCCAAAAACAGATTCGTAAAATGTATAGAAAATTGTTCGTGAATATTTTGGTTGAATATTAGTAGTTTATTCTTAAAAAGTTTGATAAAAGAAAATATTATTTGTAATATTTTGTAACAATTTCAATTCGATTTCGTCTCGGGTGTCAAACGCCGTCGTCGTTCGAAGAACGACACTTTTCACGCTTGCATCGAAAACTACTATTTTCGGTACGAAAACTAAATAATATTAAAGTAGCATTTGCCAATTGCCTCATAGGTTCAAGAAAATAATTAAAGTTAAGACTGTTTCTCGGTAAGTCATGCCACAGAAAATTATTTGATATAATTAAATTAAAAATTGCACCAACTATTTAGTGCGCAAAAATTAACTAACAACTTACAAACATTGTTTAAATTGAAAGTGAGTTTACACGACTGGAAACTTAACACCGAGCCTATTAAGGCACATCCAAGCAGCAGCATTTACATATCTAAGACCTATTTATCTATTAGGCCCTGTATTGCCAAACAATCAGTCAATTATTCGAGCTGTAAATTTTAATCTACGCCTACTGAGCCAATGTTGACGCAAATAAACTTCAGAGAAAAGGGGTAGTGCAAAAATCTCATTACTCCAACCGTGCACTTCGTGCCTATAGCTTTCGGCCATTTATAAAATTATTGCACGCCGTTAAAAAAAATTAATTGCAATAGATAGGCCGACAATAGCCGCAAATAATAATTGTGATCTGGCAAGTATCTAGGTCTAGGAGAATTTCGTTAAGGTCTAGACTTAGAAGCCGCTTTTTTTGTTTCATTTTTCAATACATTCCTACATAGAAGATCTGAAAAAATAAAACAAGCGAGACTTCTGATATACTGATTAATTTTTATGTTAGAAAACTAGAGTTTTTCTTCCCCGGAGCTGCTCATTGCATATCACCATGCCGCTCATACAAGGTATCCCAGAACCCTTTGGACATTGCTTAAAATCGGATTTCTTGATAAACTTTAAATGAAAAGGCCTTATATATTAATACTCTTTGAAGAGTATCTGGGTCTTGTCTTTTATATTTTGTATTAGTTCATCTGCTGTTTTTGAGAAAACCAATTTTTTTATGTATCCCTAAAGCTAATAGTCGGGAGGCGTTAGGTCCGATGACTTCGGAGGCCAGATAACTGAGCCTCCTCTTCTAACTGTCGTTCTGCAAAGCTATTTTTTTGATACGTTCTTTTATTTTTTGACAAAATATGGAAAAGCCCTTTCCATTCGTTCTAGCAATTCGTGTCACAAAAGTATTAAATAATACTCGGATGTTACAGGTTCTTGTAATACGAATAATCAAAAAATATATTTAATTGCATTATACCAAACATTTGAAAAAAAGCTTTATTGAAAAACGTTTTCGCTGTTTGTAAAAGGTTTTTAAATGCCAATGAATGTGAATATTTGGCATTTGTAATAGTAGACGTGACTAGCCGAAACAGAAATTGTCCCCAAAAATGTTGATTGTTAATCAACCAACAGTAAGATTGTATACGATGTGGGTACAAACCAAAATTATTTCAGATTATCTACACATTGATTACCGATAATTTGCATTTTCTATTAATTATACGTATATTTTGTAATTGTTCATTTTTTAATGTTTCAGAAGTAGTTTTCTTCAATTAACTTAACAACCAAAGCATTGCATAATATAAGAATCACAAAGACTGGATTCACGACATTTGTATCCATACTTTATCCCAAAAGTATTCCTATACCCGAATGAAAACACAGAATAACGACTAGAATATTTGCTGACTACGCTGCTCTAGATTTCTATAAAAATGCCTATAACTCTGTAAAATAATTTTAATCAACATATTTGAACCGCTTCCGTCTGCTGAAATCTCAGGACTGGAAACATAGTTTTTATTTATTTGCAATATTTTACGCAACTGCATTTTGCGTCCACTAATTCTTCAACAATTTTTTTAACACTCTATTTTGTGTTTACTTTTTGTCGTTCTTCTGGATTCAAAACACTTTTTTATTAGTACAAAAACCTTAGAAGGAGGGTTGATTCACACACTATTAAGATTAAGCCATTTTGAAACCGATAAGTTTTGCGGGCTGTTAGATCACGCTTACGCTTGATTAGTTTAGCTTTCGAGCGAGAAGCCTGGAATAAATTATTTTCCATGACAAGTGGCAAAAACTCAATAGTTTCAACGAAATTCTAACTCTTTTGTTTTGGACATGTTCCTAATTATATTTTCAGTGATAATTTTAAGTTAAAAATATTTGTTGACGATGAAAAACTTTACCCATTTGGATAGTTTTAAACGAACAAACAAAGATTTAATTATTAAAGTATGTTTGATATTCATAATGCCATTTAAATTTCATAATTGGTTAATGTTTACCAAATGAAACATCATGTTCCTATTAAATAATTTAGTCTAAAAATCCGACATCATTGACTTCGATTTTACTCTGTGGTATCTCTACCGTGGATGAATTAATACAAGTACACCGAAATAGGTAGTGAGTCACGAACTTGGTTAGCAGAAGAAATTTTAACATGTTTTTAAGCTCTTGGTTGGCGATAAATCGATAAAGTTAATGGGTTATGGCCGATGATCAAACAATCGTCGTACTTTTTAATTCTACCGCTTCTTGTTAACTCAAAAATGCACTTGATGCGCTTCACGTTCCACTTCATGGATAATTTCAATAAATATTTGCCAACAAAAATTTACGGTATTTTTAATCAAAAAACGCATCGGAAAATGTTTGTCTTTTGAAGTTTTCTAGTATATAAAGATTGCTAGTGTTCTTATGTTTTAACATGCTAGTATGTTCTGCTGATGGTTATTAAGCGCTTGTGAAAAAGAAAATAATTGGACTGTTATTTATTTCTGCCATTTAACGTAAACTTATTCAAAGTAACAATAAAAATTTGAAATTTCCTGTTTTGTTTCAGATCACATTTAGCATTTTCTTGAGAGCATGGGAGGGATTTTCTTGAGAAATTCAAAGTAAGTGTTTCTTAATATTAAATAGTTCAATTGGGACATCTACAATTAAAGCAGTTTAGTGCTTCGAAAAAATATAGTGAATATTACAGTGATCGACGAAAGATCCCATAAGTAGGGGCGTAGGCGAAGCTAAAAATATTGTGAATAAAGGCAAAAACACTTTTGGGAACTTTAAACATTAAAAATCGCCTGGTAGATAAGTTTGCGTTAAAATTTCTGGATTTGGAAAGTGTTCCGTTTTAGAAAAAGTTTGGGAAACCCTGATTTAGGGTGTCTCTAATGCAATCAACAACTCTTAGCACCAGAAGCTTAGTTTTAATAATGAATACGAGAACGGAAATGTAAATAATTAAGAACTTTGAAGTTTAAAGGTCCTTAGGAAGGCAATGTAGAAGATTTTTACAAAGAAAACGGTGGAAAATTCGTTTATAGCTTGAATTAAATGACGAAAAATCCAAGAAGCAAACCTACATTTCTACGTTTGGACACTAAAAAAATAGTCGCAAAGCTGTTACATAATTCAAGAAAAACGCATGCAGTATAAATAAAACATGGCGTGGTACCGGTACGTCACATAACAGTCTAGAGTCGCACGTAACTCTTCCTGCGATATTGTTATGTGCGAATAAAATAGAATGGACACGATAAAATGTCCATCGAAAGGCGGCCCACGCACGGATTCCCATAGATAGACTGGCTTGTGCTTTTTTTATATTCATTCTTTTAACGAGACCGATTTATGGGATTTTGATAAATTAATATAGGTCGTTTTATTCAAGCTCAATATATTCGAGATTTGCTTCATGCTTTGCTGTAAAAATAATTAAGCTGCATCTGCATCTGGACGATATGCGTAATTTTGCGACATAGTAACTTTCTGTGATCATCATATTTAAATAGGTATTGCAAAATAGCCAGAATATCCTAAATTAAAGGCAAATAAAGTCACTAGTACGCCAGCCCAGTTTGTTCTAAGAACATTATGTAAACATGATTAAAAGCTGGAAATATTTTACGATTAACTCAAATAAAAATATTTGAGATAGATTTTTCAACATCTACAGGGTGAGTTTTTTTCGATGACCAGTACAGGGATCTTTGAAACTATAGCAGTTACGGAAAAGGTTACATGGACAAAGAATTGTTGTTTTGAATGCTCTACTCGAAACTAATTTTATTTTTCTAAAATTAGACAGCTGCCAAGAGATATTTGGGAAGAAGATACTTATGAAAATTTTTAAAATTACTCCTAGTTCCGTCAATATTAATCTGATAGGATAACATTAAATAGAAAACTTGTAGGAAATTGAATTCCAAACAAAATGGCATAAAATATATCTCCAAAATAACTGTCATTTTTGACATATGACACAAATTTAAGTTTTTTTTATGGCGACCATATTTGATTATTGCTTTACCGAATAGAGCGTTTTATTACGATTCCTGTGATAGATATATCACATTGTTAGGATTTTTTCTAAAATAAAGTGCCTGAACAATTAATGCTGTTTCAATTTAGTTGATCGAAGTTGGTCATGGAAAATAGTATAAGACATGCGGCATTGTTTCCATAGTAACAAATGATAACAATACGCTTCAGTATTTATTTTGACAACTACGTTAATGTTGGCAATAACTTTATTTTAATTAAGACGGCTGCTCATTTAAAGTATTTATTATAAAAATCAAATCAAACCAATGATTAAAATTTAACTCTAGAAACTTTAATTTTTATTGTAAAATATTTTTAAAAAGTCCACCATTATTGTCAATGCAAAGATTGCAACGCTTTAAAACTGAATAAGTTGCTTTTTTTGCGGACCGACCATCAATATTTTCAAATTTTCTAACAGCTTCTTTAGGTGCATTTATATTGGAATATTTCCTCCCCACAAAGAGAAATCCAAAGGTCAAAGATCCGGTGATCGAGGTGGCCATAAAATAGGGCCATTTCGTCCAATCCATGCCCCAGGAAATATAACGTCCAGGTGAATCCGCACTTGGGAAAAATTATGCGGAGGAGCGCATATAGAATTAGCATTATAAATTGTTCGCAGACGCTTTATTTTCGAAAAAAACCTAACGAGGTGGTATATCACAGAAATCGTAATAAAATGCTCTATTCGGTAAAGCAATAATCAAGTATGGTTATCATTTAAAAAAACTCAAATTTGTGTCATATGTCAATTTGACAATTATATTGGAGAAATGTCCTATGCCATTTTGTTTGGAATTCAGTTTCCTACAAGTTTTTTATTTAATGTTTTCCTGTCAAATTAATATCAACGGAACTAGGAGTAATTTAAAAATGTACCATAAATAAGTTTTTCCCAAATATCTCTTGACACCTGTCAACTACAATTCTTTATCCATTTCACCTTCTTCATAACTGCTCTAGTTCCGAAGATCCCTATACTAGTCATCGAAAAAACCCACCCTGTTTACGTGTATTATAAAAATAAATTCCGGTTTTTAACCTTAAAGACCTAAATAATTCGTCTAAACAAATGTTTCGAATGGAAGGTTAATGTCAGAGAAAATTTCAGAATTCAATTTCATTCATAAAACGGTTCTCTTTGGGCCAAAACTTTATTATTTATTAGAAGAACTCTAGCTGCAAAATCACGCAAAATTGTATTTCGAATTGTTTCCCAAAAGAAAACAAGGTAAACGTGTAAAAACAAGGTAATAGAATTATGCAAATATAAGAGAACCAGAACCCATCGTCCAAGTCTCAAATATCGCCTAAATGGTGATTCGCGTTACTTTTCGCGAAGTGTTGTAGCTATTCTTTCAGGAAAAATAAAATAAATGCTTTCTTAAAGATCATCTTTCTAGAAAGACGCAAAAACGTTAATCATAAAACAACTCACTCACTAACTGATCTATCAAGATCATGCTGAGAGAAATAGAAATGAGGAGCAACAGATTTATTCGACTGTGTCCGTTGCACGAAAAAAAAAAATATTCTCCTTAAAAAGTGGATCTGCCCAGAAGTTCCTTTATATGGATTGTCATTTAACATTCTTCCAAAATGAAACAAAAGTAATGTTTAGAGGCAAAATGTTTTACTTGTTTTGTCGCTTAGGACAAAAACCAACCACATTGAACTACAATGTTTAGAGAACGTCTGATTTAAATGTGTAAAATGAATTGATTTTGATGATTTTTATTGGATTAGTCAATTGTAGTGAGAAGCAACCTGTCAGTCAATCTATCTAATTCGTAATGTATAACGTGGAGGTCTCCAGGTAGGCAACAACGCAAAAACCAAACAATCAAATTTACTAACAAGCCGATACTATATATTACCGGAGCGGATTTATATCCCACAATGGGTCATTGTCGAAGTGACTATCTCAACTCTGACTCTGAATGATAGAGACCTCTATAAAAGACCCATTATGTTGGACCGCACGGTTCGCCGCAAGGGACATCTTTATTGAATAGGTTTATATCTGAATGTGTTGTCTTAGTGGCTTTGCCTTTATGTTTATGCCTTCGCAGATTAGTTTGTTTTAACTTATTGTGCTGCTCACCTTGGCGCTATTGACTGGATAATTATTTCAGGGTAATTAAATGCCCAGCCAAGAGCGTTTCATTTAAATTGAGGCAGGAACATTTTCCTTCTTCCCTGATTTAGTTTGCGAATTTAACGTGAGTGGTTTTGGCTTATACAGCGACTTTGGACATATCTTATACTCCAATGTTTCCTGTTGTTGCACTAATTCCGAATCACCCTGTGTAATATTGTCTGCTTCAATTTTGTTCATTTATACTTCAGCTAAGTAGGACTTGGAAATTCCATGCTAATTATCGGTAAAATGATATAGTATTTATATCCAACTATGCTTAAAAATTATGCTTACTAACAGAGCAACAAACTAATAATAATTTAATATCCGCAATTTCTGATTGTATCTGTATGCTAGATTTTAGAGGAAACATTCATATAACAACAATTAACTAAAGACTGCCAACGGTGCCTTTCAACATCAGTAATAAAACACATTCTTTTAAACACTTTTATATGGCATCATACAATCAAAAATTAGAATTGATCACTGGCTACATAGTAAGAATAAATATTGACGGGAAGAATAATATAGAGATATAGAAAGAGGTAGCGACAGCGCATGGAAAACTTAAAGGTAAGAATAACATGTGAAGTCGTAAAAAGAAACATGCCAACCAATGCAGACGAAACACAGTAATCGAATATTTCGAAGTGCAATCTCTATATTTTTACCAAAAGTATTAATACAAATTTGTAGCGATCCAGCAAAAAGTTGGAAAAATTATGAGATCCATTTTATGGCAAAATATACAGGGTGTTCCGGAATATGTGGGGATGCTCTCGAATTTGTATATGAGACGTTAAAAAAATCATAACTAGTTCCTATAAAAAAGTTTCCAGAGTTAAAAAAGTTTCCTCTACGGAGATACAGGCCTCTAAAGCAGCCACCAGAAAAGCGATTTTTTTAAAATAACTTTTAGAACACTTCATGCAATTTAATCATTTTTTCATACAATGAACAGTACATCATCGCTCTTAAAAAGGATCCATGAAAACATGTTTAACATTTCGGTTTGCCAGGGATGGACTAGGTGGAGCACAATAATAGTGATATGTTTTTTACCTCATTGTACAGGGACACGAAAATAATGTATTTAGGTAGCTTTAACCTTAAACTGAAAAAAAGACACTCTTGATTCATATCGATAAACAGAATGGTTTTCGAAGAAAAAATATTTTTCTTGAATACGGATTTTAATGCATTATTTTTGCAATCCAATTTTAATGCGGTGTGCTCCATTGTAAAGGGTAAAAAAAATTACTGTGCTCCACCTAGTCCAGTCCTGGAAAACCAAAATGCTAAAAATGTTTTCATGGGTCCTTTGGGACCTAGGGGTGCCCTAGGGGGTCAAGTCCCTAAGCCCTCTGGATTTTTTTATAGAAATTTGTTATGTTTTTTTAACGTCCCCTGTACAAATCCAAG